AAAAAAATGAATGTCTAAATGTGAAATGGGCAGGAACAAGGTCAAAGGAGTGAGTGTGTGAGTGTGAAATGGGCAGGGACACGGCCAAAGGAGTGAGTGTGTGAGTGTGAAATGGGCAGGGACACGGCCAAAGGAGTGAGTGTGTGAGTGTGAAATGGGCAGGGACACGGCCAAAAGAGTGAGTGTGTGAATGTGAATTTAGAGGCCATGACCCATGTGCCCCCCAAATGTATCCCAAGAGATGGCTGGGCCCAGGCAAGCGGGGATCCCCACACTGTGAGTTTTTTGTTGTTGTTGTCGTTTTTGTTGTTTTTTTTAGTTGTTTGTTATTGTTGTTTTTTGTTGTTGTTTTTAGTTTTTTGTTGTTGTTGTTTGTTCGTTTTTGCCAGTTCTATGGGGCCAGCCTATTAGGAGACTGTGCAAGGGATGCTGAAAACTGCATCGCCCTGTGCATATGGGGCCGGCCTGTGGGACCACAGCGCCCTCTGCTGCCACAGAGGAGTGGTGCATGATGGGCACACACAGCTGTGAGGGAAGACAGGGTGACCTCTGGGGGTGACTTCCTAAGATTAGGGGTGGCCGGCAGCAGGGGCCTGTACAGACCCAGCCCAATGGGGTTGAGAATAAGGTAACAAAGAAGGCCTCATGGCCCCTGTCATTGAGTCCAGGAGGGACCCTTTTATGGGGTGATCCCAGAAATATGGCTGGGGTACAGGGGGTCAGTATAGGATACAGACAGAGTGTAGGTTAATGCCAAGAGCCAGCAAGACCAACCTGGGTCCCCTATGCTGGGAGGGGTCTATTATGGGCTCATGGATGCCCCCCAGTTTTTTGCAAGATATTTCTATCTCTCTCTCCCTCTCCCTTCCTCTCTGAAATCAATAAAAAAATATTTTTTTTTAAGAAAGAGAAAGACATGGGGTGTCTGAAGATGGGATGGGGTGAAGGGTTGGAGACGAGGCTGTCCTGGGTCGGGGGGGGCCTCCCTTCAGGGACAAGGTCCTTGTCAGACACAGAAGAGGAGACGCAGACACAGGGGAGAGGCCACGTGGAGACGGATGGAGAGAGGAGGCAGGCGGCCACCAGCCCTGGAGACACCCTGATCTCAGACATCTGGTCTCCAGGATGGAGAGGTTGAGGCAGGAGGCCACCAGCCCTGGGGACACCCTGATCTCAGACATCTGGTCTCCAGGATGGAGAGATGGAAGGCAGGTGGCCTCCCCAGGGACCACACTCACCAAAATGCAAGATGGGGGTCCAGTCACTCCACTGCTCACTGTGCCCCACCCTCCCT